GAACATACAACGCCCCCAAAAAAGGTGGTGGGGGGGGGGGAAAGACAATTTTAGCTCTATAGGAGGTGCTGTACTGCACGGAAGAGACCTACCAAGAGACAGTATCGCCCCACTGAGCTCAGCACTAGTGCTGCCAGATGCAGACTGGCTCCCACAGACTTTTCACTGGCATCTCCCTCCCGTGCTTCCAGCTCACAGAGGAACTTTTAGACCTGCACTGGGTATAACACACTTGCAGGCAACACTGTGCCATAGCATTAAGCTTTTCCCCAAACTCAGAGTAAGTACAAAAACGAAGATTCAAATGTGTGCAAAGGCTTGGCAGAAGCAAGCCCAGGTCTAGCGCCACCAGAATTTAAGAGGTAAGAAATCCTTTCCAACCAAAAATCAACTATGTAAGAGAAAGTGTCTCAAAGAGCTCCCTAGCACATCCTGTATCGCCTATTCAGGATTCTCCCATTCCACCATCACTTTGGAACATAATGCAGGCACACGAGAATTCCATGCACCATTATCTCAGAACTGATAAGTCACAGATAATTGAGAATAAACTGTATGTGCAAATAAAAAATATTTCCCTCCCTTAACAGAGGCCAAAAGCTCAAGAATCCACACAACACCCAGTTTGTGACAGATGCTCCATATGACTAATGCAGATCATAAAAAAACCCCAAAAAGTCAAATTCGTGATTTACAAAATACTGCTAGAAAATATAAAGCTATGATACTCAGCTACTTTCAATGTCAACGTTGTAGATAAATACATCAGAATCTTACAACAACAACAACAGATACTACTTCCTTAAAGGAAACATTTACTTTTGAATTCACATGGATGCATAGCACATTTACAGTTACCCAATCTGGAAATTATTTCCTAGTTAAATATGTGTACAAGGTTAAATATACTGATTACATAAGCTGGGAGGACAGTAAATGTGGGGTTGTCTCCAGAGAACTGCTTAGACTTTTAAGAAACAAAGATGTGTTACCAGAAACAAAATGCCCCTATGCACACCAGTTGGGGGTCGTAAATGGACCTTTGGTGCACTGGGTAGTCCACAGCAAGGAGAGCTGTGATCTCACACCACAGGGAGTATGTGCCTCTGAACACCAACGTGAACTCATCTGTCTCCCTGCTCAACTAAAAAGTTGACCGGCCATCCAGTCATGTCTGTTCCTGGCACCTTTGCATATTCCTGCTTAGTGTTCCCTTCTATAAAGAACTAATATGAAGCATCATGAAAAAAATGTGGTTTAAGACACTGTATATCAGTGGTATGTTTTGGATCTTTAACTATTTTTCCCACTGAGATGAAACTGATGTGGTCTGCATTCAGCTGCCATCCTAATCAATAGCAAGAGTAGTTTTGCCTATAAAAAGTTAGCAACTCTTAAAATAAAATTTGGCCTCTTCAGGCTAATGCAAAGTTTCAATTTAAGGAACAAAGTTTCTGAAAATAAGGCCATAATCCATTATCACCATGTGATTAATTAGCCCTGTCACAAACTTTAGGGTTTTGGGAACTCAACATACCAGGGCATAGGACAGCCTGGCCAAAGACAAGCTCATCCAAAGCTGAAGCATACCACTGAATCAAAGACTAACCCATCAAGCAGAACTGGAAATTCATGTAAAATGTGACAGCACCCTTGATTATTTTGTAACCATTATCTGGCCCACTGAAACTAAGCAGGTTCATTCCAAATAAGGCTCTAGCTAGAGTTTCAACTTGTCATACGTTTTCAGACATTTATCTGATTCTCTTCTAGACACGTTTCATTTTTTCCCAACTTCTGCAGTACAAGAAAGATAAAAAATACAGTTCTGACACCAAAAGCAGGTTCAAAAACAAGACCATTCTCCTATTCAATGAAAAACTAGGTGACTTAAATTCACCCTTTTTACATACGTGTATAACCTGCTTAACGACTTACCTCTCTCCCTTTGTGCGTCACCAAAGCAGCCAAAGGTTTGGCATAGAATCTGCTGTAGGAAAATCCCAGGCAGCCATACATACTGTTAGCGGTGAGTTTCAAAGCTTTCTGTCTGATATCATACTGAAAAGAAACATAACCCGCAAAAATGATACAACCATAGCCAACAGAGAACAGAATTTAATGTTCACAATTACATTCACAGCTTTTTATATAGTCTGCAGCAGTGATGGGCTACAAGTAAAGCACATTACAATCACTGCTCACTACTAATCATCCCTATTCTGCAAGGCTGATCAGGGCACTTAAGGGGAGTGGGAGAAAAATCAAAGGAGTTCTATAAAACACACCTGTAAATAAAGGTCAGGATTTAAATCTGGCTGTTTCATTAAGTGCTTAACTTGCCGTCTTCTCTCCACTAGTTTCCTGATTTCTTTAGGCAAAATTCCCATTTCCAGAGATGGGTCTGGAAGCTCTGGAATTTCTTCCTCTTCTGTGACCTGTCAAATGATCACCACTGCTTACCATTTTTTTGCTTGAAGATTAGATTTTAATGTGTTAAGTGAAAAGCTTGAGGAAAAAAACCCAAAACTACACAGCTTGTATCTATTCCTGCAGAGCACCTAAAGCACAGTTTAGAACAAGCATGAGAGGTATTTTTGTGGTATTTAACTGTATTACTTAGTCTGTCCTGGGGGACAGGGACTAAGCCTGTGTCTGTCTGGGAGAAACCCAAGAGAGACATGGTCTAGTAGCAGGAAGATTTTTTTTTTTTTAAATGTATGTGTGTGTATGTAAATCCAGATAACTAAAACACACGCATACTATCACTCTTAGGTATATATACACATAAAAATATACAGAAAAGTGCACACACAAGCAATTCTTTCCATGTGAAAAAAATCCATCCTTTTTTTATTATTGCCCAAGTATTTTTGGTGTTCAGAACAGTAAAATGGAGCACATGCTCTGTGGAACTGATACTTTGAATAACTGACAAAAGAGAAATCAACAGTAACAACAGAATGAAAACTCCATCCAAAGCAACTCTTGATTATAGCAAAACAACAACATAACAGAAAGCATACATTCTTCTTGTTAACATAACCAAAGAAATAGTTGCTCAGCAAAAATGGAAAGAAATTTCAAGCACAATGAAAGACAGACAAATATACAAAGAAAGGGCAAAAGAGATACTATGAGGTTGGTAAGTTTAGCAACGCAGTCTAGGAAGAACCATAAAAAGAAATGACACCAAAACCTGAATAAATATCATACCATGACAGAAATCAAAATGAGCTGCTGCAGTTTGAAGCACACTTAAGAAAGCAGGGTATATCCACAGAGAGTTTGGAGGAACTCACGGACAGTTCCACATACTTTTTCCCTCATTTCTGCTATGGTACTGATATTTCAGTTGTTATAGGACTAACTATGTCCCATAACAACTTATGCACAACACGCTAATTCCAACCTGTGAGCTGATACCAGTTAAAAATAAAAGCCTCAGGTTTAACCTTTAGACCTGACCAGCTCACTGCTTCAGCTTACTGCACAGCTCCAACAACAACTGTGCCAGCACAACTGGGGAAATGTGAATAAGCAGCCACGGATAAGCCACGGCCAACACAGCTGCTGAGAAAACAGTATGTGGAACTACACCTTCAGGAGGTTTTTCAGTTGTGTTTAATACAGTTTAATGCTGTATGAATTTCCATGAAGCTGGTCCTGCAGCTGACACAGTCGCAGTATCACTCCCTGACACACACTCTCAAGACACACACATAGTCTAAGAAGGGTTGAGCTCATATTGCATTCTTTCCCCCAGGCAGAAGCATGAGACTTGTCTCTCTCATTCAGGTATGTTTGCATGAATTCTGTGGCAACATAAACTTGAGAAAGCTTCTACCAGCTTAGGATGAAATTGGTCAAGGAGCTCAGAAATTGCTAGGACGACCTAAGGCTGAAAAGGGCCAGCAGCATCTCACTAAAAAATCTTCTTTCATGAGGCTATCAAGATTTTATTTAGATAGGAGAGAACTTACCAAGATTCTACAGAGTATTACTGAAAGGAATATGACAGACATGTAATATTCAAAAAATCCCAACCCAAAACTTACTATGATGCATCTTTAAACAAGAATCACTTTTTTTATGTGTGAGAGGGGGGGAAAAACCATTATACAGTGAAAAAGAAAAGTTTCTTCAAAAGCTGATTCACAGAAAACGCAATTAAGTTAAGACAGTGTAACTTCACTCACAAGTTAAAGCACACAAACCTCTGCCCTTTTCTGTGCTTCTGATGACAGTCGCTGCACTGTGGTAAAGCAGATGTTGAACTCCTGGATAATCGATGGGTACAAGCTGTTGAAGTCGAGAAGCAAAATAAACTTGTCATAAAAACCTAAAACAGAGTTTAAAACAAAAGTCATAGTTACTCAGTCTCCCTAAGGACTTCATCCAACTCCACAATTAATATTTAAGTGACAGTAATACACTGTACCACATCCCTTAAAGTAGCTGCTGAGATGCACCACTGCCCATTATAGAAAGCTGTCAGAAGTGGAACGATCCAACCCCATTAACTCACCAGAGTTGAACAGATAGCTTCTGTGTTACTATAGGACACTTGTACAGTTTTCCCCACATAGAGGAGAAACTGAAAGAAAACTTACGTGTCCATTAGAAAATTATACACAGATATATGGTCCCAATTCCTCGCAAGACCATAATCTTCTCAGAAAAAGTTAAGAAATAAATGTCCCAAGAATAAGTAATTCCACAATCAATGTTGGGAATTTTCTTGCATGCAGCAACACCCCCGCCAAACCACCACACCAAACTCCCACTAGATACACAGACTGCCTATTCCAATCTCTCTGCATTAATATAACCTACCTGTCTCTCATAGAAGAAAGGAAATTGCCACATCTTACCGACTTTGGGATCCAAGACTAAGCCCCCAGCATATGCTGCTTTCTTTTTCCCTATTTTTGATTTATTCTGATCTTCAAAATCTTCATCTTCATCCACCTACATTTGGCATTTAAAAAAGTCATTATCTGGTCTCCAAGATTTCTACACTGTTGGAGGAGTTATTTTTGGCAAATCAAATATGAAATTGGGAGCCAGTGCACAGAGTTCCTTTTAAAATACATGCAAAACATGGTGTTTTCATCATGATCCTTATTAAAGCTCTCTACATGTCAAAACAGCATTCAAACCAACTCCTATAGGAACAAACTGCTAACAAGAGATTATAAAGACTTTAAAGAATGTCATCATTCAACACAGCACTAGCATACATTTTCTGGCTTGCTGTAAAAGTCAACACTAGGAAGAAAATCAATTCACGACCCAGAAGAAATATTATTGCCCAATTCAAATGTAGTTTTTGGAAATACAAAGGCTGGGCTTTAATAAAACAAACAAAAACCTCAACTATTATTATTAGTGACCTCAAGAGGATTCTCCTGTTTGTCTTGTTGTATTAAGAATTTTTCTCCCAGTTGTTCAATGCTATTCTGAATCATTTAAAATTCCAGCACTGCTTTGATGCACCAATACAATCAACAGAACTTACTGCTTTGGAATTTGTTGTTTAACTTATTTAAAAGTAAAACTAAAAAAGCAAAATATAGTCAAATACAAATACATTCTCCAATTCTAATTTGTTTACTAACAAACATATAGATGTTTCTATAGGTATTATTTACACCGGTATTACCCAAATGAATTTTTTTTAATACCCTTGGATATTTTATCCACATTCTCAAGTCACCCACCTTACAAATTATACTTGAAATACTGTTCATGAGCAAAATAATTGTAGGGCAAATGTGCATCTATTAAGCAGCACAGACTATCTTTCTCTTAAGTGTTTCCCTACTAAGTACTTAGCTTATTTCAATTTTAAACTAAAAGACCGAGTTTCCATAGATCTGCAATACAATGGAAAAGGTGTTACACTGTCACTTTAAACCATACATTTCTCCATTATCAACTCAACAGCAACAAAAAAAATATAATTAAGCATAAGCTGTACCATTAAGTTAGATGTTATATCTAACATATGTTTGGATTTTCCATGCTCTCATAGAACAGTAATATGCAAAAGATAGAAGAATGTTTTTTTCTTTTTAATAAAAATTCTTGGAAAGAGAAAAACTGGACCCACCAGCTTCTGCGGAGGCTTTTTAAAAACTTGTTTGTCCGGCACTATGTAGTCTTTTTCATAAAATGCGTGAAGCAGCAAGAACTCATTACGTTCAGATCGTCCACCCATCATTGTCCTCGACTATAGAGAGGGGTGAAAAAAGAATTCAAAGCAAAGCATAGAAAACACTGACATACAAAAATAAACTACACAATGTCCTTCAACTATTTTTAAGTTCACCTAGCATTACTATTATTCTCTATCATCACCATGCACACTCAAATGTGCTATGTTTATGGAAGTTTTACATTATTACTTGACTAGATCATTGAACTCTCGCACTCATCACAGCAAAAACTTTACAGTATCATGTAGTCTCAATCAGTGTTTACAAATTAAAACTAGCAAATGAAACACAGAAAACATGGAACTGTTTTTGTGGGACAATGGAAAGGGGCAGAAAGTAATAAAACTGTACCATGACATTCCCAGAGATGTTTGTTATTTGAAGAGCCAGTGGCAGAACATTCAGCTCACACATGATCTGGAGAATGAACTTGGCATCTGTCCAGGTGTTTTCCAGCATGAACATTAAGTGAGGAGACTCACTGCAAAAAGAAGGATGGCCTAGTAAAGTAAAATCAGCCTCCTTTGTGCTCTGTAGTAGTGTAGACCTATATGTTGTATGGTACATGTGGTATCTGTAGCACACCAGTGTTGAATCATACAGCAAGCTCTTAATTGGAAAAAAAAAATAATCCCCAAGCTCAAGCTCGCATATCTTATTAGTGTGTCTAAACCAATGCTCTCACAAATCAATTCGCTTTACGCATAGTAAGCCAACACCCATGAGTAGCTTGAAACATTATAAAATACTGTTAAGATAATACTTTACTTTTCAAATACCAGTATGCTAAGTCAGCATCTCCATGACAAATCAAATAAGCAAGTATGAAACTGTATAGCAGGAAATTAGCTCCTCTACTTTCCAGTGAAGGATTAAAAACACGAATCATCAACTCACCTGTACATATTTCGAATTTCCTCTGGTAGAATTGTTATCCTCTCTGTTTTCAAAATCTGACGGACCAGTTCAGATAAATGGTAACTTTTGCAACGAATTAATTCTTTAGCAGAAATTTCTACATCACAGATCATTCGACCGCAGGCAGCATTCCTTTCAGCAAACCCCCCTCGACCCTTAGTATCATACAAGGGGAGAAAAACCCAAACAAAATGAAACATACAAACATTAACAAAGCACATTCATCCAAAATATATGTTTATAGGTCTCAGTTAAGTCAGTTGGTCAATAAATACTCTAATACTCTAAATACTAAATACCACTAATACTAAGGCTTTATAATTATGCCCTAAAGGAATCCATGGTATCTTTCAGTATATGTGGATATTAAGTAGTACATACTTAACTCTCATTACTAGTTAGATCTTCATTCTTAACCTGTCATGCTTTTTTTCTTCCCTTTAATAATTAGAATAGTCCCAAAAAGAACATGGGTGTGGATTTTGTTTTTCCTCCGAGGATATTTTTCATACTAACAGTGGGACAAAAGTCACAGAACAAAGGACACACAAATACTCATTGTGGCCTCTAGGAAGGACAGGAACAGGCAACAACGTGGCCACATTCAGCACTTCGACACTCCAAGACTCACACATTGTCCTCTGAACAAATACGTACTAAGAACTACAGAATTAACTTAGCAGCTCTCTATGGGATGATTCACCAATCAATCCAAATTACATTTTCTCATTTTACAGTTATAGCAGACAAAGACTGTTACAGTAAAGACTATTGCAATTAATCTGTCATTACCATCATCTAGTTGAGATATGTAAACTAAATTAGCCTAACTTGAAAATTAGTTTAGCTTATTACTGTTATAAAAGTCATATAAACACTCATCATTTCTGATCTGGGACACATGAAATTCAGCATGACCAACAGTCAAAATACATCAGTGTCACATTTACAATTCCTCAGCAAAATTAATTCATTTTTAATCGCATGCAACATAAAGGGGCTTAAAAGACTTGAGCGATCTTATTACCCCAAGCTTTGGCATATTGGACCTCCTCAGTCGACCTATCTTGGACCAGTGAGGGACTTTGGACACATTAATTCTTTGAAGCAGCACTTCCAGATCAAATCCATAAATATTATGACCCTTGCAGCAGAAAAAATAACAAAAAAAGGTTACAACGAATGCAAATGGAAAGACTTACTTTCACACACTCGGTATTCCTTTGCCCTTTGTGGTTTTTTCACACTAATTGATGGCATTATCTCTCTCATAGAAAGCACTTTCTAAGAGAACATTCATCAACAGTACTCATTAGTCTTAACACTAACAATGCTGTTCAGTAGAATACCAAAAATCAGCTCTATAACTGGCTCATAGCACACAGGATTCAGCTTTATGCTTTGATACCAGAGATTAGGATTTAAAGCCTTCTAGAAGAAAAAAACTCCAACATTCTTTATAGAGCATATAAACTTAGCTATGAGTAATTCCTCTCTCTCCACCCATGAAAGTCTCAATATTGACATCAAAATACTGTCTTTTTTTTCCTTTGATACTACAACAGGCATAGCTGTTAAATCTGGACAGGAAGACCTTGCAACCAGTATTTACATATCAAAGTACTCTAGCAATATTTGCAAAGTTTAAACAATGCTAAGGACATTGCTGACATTGGTCTGTAACCTCAGCTGAAAGCAAAATGCTACCCTGACGAACGAGTCTATGCACACCAGTCAGTCAGGAGGAACTGTAGGTTCACCATATCAGATACGTCCGTGTGGTGTAATACTGTGCTGTAGAAGCAGTTCCTTAAATCAGCAGCAGCATTACAGCTATAGTAGAGGGGTCCTACCTATATTGCTCTAGCTTGTTTTTCAACAGCACTAATTAAAGCAAGGGCAAATTAAACTGCACTAACAAAGCTCTGCTGTTTTTAGGATCAGAGCTCCCCTACTACTGCCATCTTCAATTTAAAAACCACTGGCTGCAGTGTTTCCCCTGATTCCTTCCCATAACCACCAAGAAGCTCAGCTCATAGGGCAAACACCGGATACCAGCCACAGTGAGCTGAGAACATCAGGAATCTGACTGCTTGTTTCATCCTATTCCCACCACTTCATTATTTGTATTTACCTACAGAAGAATAGCAAGCTGTATATAACCAACCTCAGAGTTATAACCAACTACAAATTGTCTTCAAAATTTCATTAAATGAAAGTCAGGACTGTATATTCATTAAACATAGCAAAAAAAAAAAAGAAAATGAGTAATTATAATAAATCCTCAGCTGCCAATACAGTAAAAAACATAAGAGTGCTTATTACAAAACTTTGCAGAGATCCTGTGGATTTGTATAGGTTATCATTTTCATTTACAGCATAAACAGCATCTAAATGCTGATAAATCATATGAGCATCTGAACTGAAACAGACTCTTAAGTATACCAAGAGTTCTCATTTTTCCCAGAAAATCACAAAGCTTTTTTTGTTGTGTTTTGTCTTTCTGAGTAAAGAAAAAAAACCCTACTTGTTTCAGGTACTATGGAAATACTGCCTATTTCAGATATTATGGGAAATAAAAGGATGTATAAAATGCTGTCTGGGAAATTCTGTATCATCTTTGTATCAAAGTATACCTGCTGTCTTCTAAGCAAATTCAATTCATAAGGCAGTCTAAAATAAACATTAAAAAAACCTATACGGGGACAAAAGAAAAAGAAGAAAGCTGGCCAGCTGACAATATGCTTTAATTTAACTCTCAAAGTCTCAGAACTACTCACCACAATAACATCTGGGTCAATTTTGTGAATCTTCGCAAGGAAAAATCCCAGCAGTGTTCTCTCTGTTGCAGCAATTTCTATTTTAGCATTCTAAAAGGAGCAAGAGAGCACCTGATTTCAATGACCCAATAAGTTTAAAATGGAAACATCTCCTCTCCCCTACTAGTTACAAGACAATAATAAAGTACCACAGAGTTCTCCCTTTCCTTCTATAATTCAAAGCTTTTTGTTCTCACTCCCATAGACACAGAAAGCTTTTCTCAGAGGCTTTTTTCCATTTTGCTTTTGTATGCAGGTGTCTAGTGATATTTTAAGAGCCTCCTAAGAATCAAGCACACCAGGAAAATGCTCCATGTGCATCCTTCACTCACAGGCTTAAGATCACACAGAAACAGAGGAAAAACAAGAATAGGTTACTTTATTATTCTGTCAGCTCTCCCAGTACCCTTTAGAAAGGATGTCTTCTAAATTTTGACAGACTTTACTCTCCAAGGAAAGAAGAAACAAATTCTCCCAGTTTACTGCAAGTACAGAGTCAGGTATAATGAAAATGAATCACAATTTTAGCCTCTCTGCAAAATCTTTCCAACTCTCTTGCCTAACTCTCCATCTATTTTATGAGCACAACTAGCAGCAGTACTGAATCACACAGAGCACACCTCTGTTTTTACAAACAACACAGAATAAACACCAGGATTTAGGTTTGCATAGTGGAAAACTATTGAAATAATCATGCCATTCCTTTGAATATTTCTCTTACACAACTTACCCAAAGCAACATGAAGTTCATATTTTAAAAGGTACCGCAATCAGAAGACTAACAAAATGCAATTACCTTCTTTTTAATAGCTTCTTTGAAGTCATAAGGAAAAATGCAATCATTTGGTTTGGAAACAGCTGCAAAAGAAGTTACATTTGTTCTTACATATAAGTTCTTAACTGTACCCTTCCCATAAGCATCCATCCATAACAAAGGGAGATAAAGAAAACTAACTTCTAATTCAAAAAAGGTAGCTTTATGTGAATACTTGTCTTTAAGATAACTGAGTAATTAGTAAAGTATTAAACAATTTTAATCATTCATATCTGAGGTTACCATTGCAGATTAAAACGATGGTCCACACCTTCTGGAAAACTTCCTCCCACAAGTGCTCAAAACTATCACTTCCAATTGGGGTCTGAATCTCAAGGTTTGGTTGATCCTAATGATCTATAATGACCCTGCTGCGAGAGATTCCCCCCCCCGCCCAAGAAAACTTATTTATAAATAAATGTGACGTTTATTTTTTTAATTCTGTTCAGAAGAACTGAACTGAAAAATAATTAAGTGACAGGAAATAAGTAGTCTAAATTAATAGGTGAATAAAGTAATCCAAGAGAACACATAATGAAGTAAAACTAATTAAAATGATAGGAAACTGTATAGAGCAGGGTTACTTCGCATCATCTCAAACTAAGATTTTTTCCAATGAAGTCTTCAACAAAAAGTCAGTAACCAGTGATTTTAAAAAAAGGGAGAAAAGCCTGCCTGGTAGTTCAAACTTTGTCACTTACCTACTGCAGCCATTGCTGGAGTGACAGAATGAAGTAAAAAAGCCAAATGCAAAACAGAATCACCACACAAAACACAAAAAACCACAACAACAAAAGAAGAACTCTGAAGGAATTGTTTTTCTACTCATAAACTGTTCCCAGTACATACCACAGAAGTGTGTCTGAAAAGGAGGCTGAGGCGGAGCCTTATCCAAAGGAAATTTCTGATGAATCAGAGCTGCAACAGCCACAATCTATACCAATGAGATACAGAAAACACATCTTCATAAATATGACTACTATCAATAGCTATTTCTTCCCTCCTTTTTTCAATTTCCCTCATCTCTTTTCTCTTGTTTCTACAAAACATCTTTTTAAAATTAATTCCAAATACAAATAGTTATAAAGAAGAAAAGTAAAATAAAGCAGAACTTACTCCTAAATTATTATCTTAGAAATTTGAGAGGAAAAATAATTACTTTTGGAAAACTCTGCTTTTATCAAACTTTGTTCTGAATCTGAACAGACCCCACAATTTAAGGATTCCCTATGAAGTGTCCTATATTGGCTAGGAACCAGGAATTTTCCATACTAGCCCCCCAAAAAATTTAACTTCACCAAGAGAACTAGTTCTGCTTGAAAAATTTGCCAGCCTAATTTTTCTTCCATTGAAATAGCCAGAAACAACTACCCTATCCTATTAGTGAATACTAAATCTCTTCCTAAGCTAGGGAGACTTATGTTAAAACACAGATAAACATGCCTAACTGCACGTTATGGTCTGCAGTCCACAACTGAGAGTGGCCACCTACATCTCTCCCACTTTCTGAAAAAAGAAAAGAACTCACAGCAGAATAATAGGTGCTGTAAGATTCAGAGCAAATTCTTATTCTATTTCAAAATTAGTATTATCAGCAGAAAATCCCAGTCATTTTACCTAGAACCTATGATTAGCTCTACCAAAAAGAAGAAAACCCAAAACATTAACAGCTGTTCTGGGACTGTTTCATCTGTAACTATTACAGACAACAAATAGAAGGCTTGAAAAAATACATAGAATCTACCGTCACAGTAAATATTCTCACCAAGCCCCCTGAACCTATAGTTCTCACACTAGCAAGACTCCAGTAAAAATTTCTTTGAAAAGCCCGCAGCACAGAGAGTTTATTCAACAGTAAAAATATTTAGACATGCTTTATCAGGTGAAGTTCTTCCAAGCCTTAGAAAATTTTTAACATATGCCAAAGAACAAAACCAAACCAAAATGAGAGCAGATTACATACCTCATTCTGGTGAGTCTTTGGGTTCTGAGTGGTTTTCATGCTGAGGGACATGACCACGAGAGGAGGAGGAGTAGAAAGATCTTGAATCACGTTCACCAAGCCAGGCTTCATGGCCACAGCCTCCACCTTACACCAGCTGACTGACTGATTTGAGGGCTCTGAGGAAACAACACAAACCACCTTCAGGTACGGCTTCTCTAATGGCACTATTGCACAGAGCATGTCCTTTGAATGTTTTGCCTTTCTGGGATAGTCCGAGATTCAGACTAATCCTGCCCAATTTTGGTAACTCCCTGGGCCCCAACTCCCCAGTTGGAAGTTCAGTCACACCAGGGGCTCTTTAACACCAAAGAAGAGAGGGAAGATTTGTATTGAGATCAGGAAGATGTGTAATGCAAAAAAAAAAAAAATAATACTTCAGGCAGTTTTATACAGTCACAGTAGAGCAAGGTATAAGCCAAGTGAGCACAATCCCACCCAAAATTACTATACCACCTCTTAGCATCTAATCTTGTAGTCAGACCAAAGGGAGAAGGCTTCACAAAAATTAATACAAATGAAATGAAAGAATACTCAGAAATTTCTCAAACATTACAGAAAAGGCAGCCAGAGTGCTAATCAAAAGAATTTTGATCGAATGAAAACAAGAACATGACTGACTGAAATGCACCAGGTAATTAATTCATTTAGATATAGTCCTCCAGAAAAATGATTATGGAAATAAGGAGATGGGGAATGTCATAAGAGAGTTCATACTACCCTGGTACTATAAGCTATCATAGAATGTAAGAGAGAGCACAGAAATTTAGAAATTACTTAGACATAAAGTGTACAAGAGCTAAAAAATTACATGGATAGATGGAGGGAAAAAAAAAAAGACATGTTCACCACCCATTATCATTTGGGAATTTTTTAGTCTGTAAGTCTTCACTTGCTTTAAAAAAAAAGTGATCATTCATAAAAGATGCTTATGAGGTAACTCTCTACATGCAGAAAGAAGCAGAGGTTACATTTCTGACAGATTAGCCTTTTGAAGACAGCTGTTGGTAGATCTAGTTATCTTACTCCCTGCAAAATTATTTCACCTCTCTCTGGAAACCCACATATTTTACCTTCTCCCATTATCCTTGCTCTAAATGCAAACAGGTAACTGACTAAAATATCTTCATTTATAAAACAGTGATTATCTCTCCAAAGGGAGACAGGCAATCATTTGCTTAACACCTTTTCTCTTTGATCGTCAATATCTTAACACCCTGAGCTTCAACTAGCACTCTATAGAGCCGTTGTCTCCAAAGTGGGGTGCATGCACCACAGGGGGTGCATAAGACAATCCACTGGGGTGTGGTAAGAAAATATTTCTGTACCATTAATAAATAAATACATTAAAAAGTGTTTATTTCACATACTTCATCCTTTTTTAATTTCTATTTTTGTGTTTATTTTATAATGTACATAATAAATTATATACATGTGCTACTGTAGTAATATATAAATAAATATCTATATATCGGGGATACATGTTCAAATTTTTACTGACAGGGGTGCATTGTCTAACAAGTTTGGAGACTGCTGTTCTAGAAAAGCTCTGGTGCTACCTACCACTGATACTGAAACTGCAAAGACAGCTTCATTATGAATAGCGATGACAGTTTTTGAAGAAGTTGTAGAAATCTGATCAAATGGTTTGAGACTTTTCAGGCATACTTCTTACCCCCAAGACCCTCTATGGGAAGCGTGGAAGGGAAACCACAAGAAAGCAAGAACCTTCTGATAAACTAGACAGTCCCCCCCAAAAAACCCTACAAAACCAAAACCAACCAAACAAAACAGCAACAAGAAAATCCCAACCACCCAGCTTTCGGGCACAAAATCCAATGCAATGACTACAGAAATTTGCATAAATATAACTAGCCAGCTTAATAGACAGATTTCAACAGAGTAGGCATGCCACAGCTTTGAAATGAGCAATTCTGATAGCAAGATACAGACTTTCTAGAACCTGAAGGCTGTAATGGAGATGTGGGAGTGAGGAAAAAAGAGCTCCCTCAGATTACCATTTAACTCTGGTGTGGAATCAGTATTTGAGCGCAGGCAAGGTAGTTCTACGGAGAGATAATGCACATCAACATTAAGTAAAATTGAATACTGCCTGAACTGTTCGTTATGATTGCCGTAACGTTTGTCATACTGGATATGAGGAACAAAATAGCTCTGGACTCTTTTCAGGTGAAGAAAGAAAATGCCAAAGAAGTAAGAGGTTAATTCTTGGGCAAAGAGTACAGGTGAAAAACCACTCTTAAGCCTTTAAAATCAGTGCCAGAAAAGTACACTGATGCTTGCCAATATCTGGTGGAAAACCCATCACAGCTAATATGTCTTTTGTGCACATCAACATTAAGTAAAATTGAATACTGCCTGAACTGTTCGTTATGATTGCCGTAACGTTTGTCATACTGGATATGAGGAACAAAATAGCTCTGGACTCTTTTCAGGTGAAGAAAGAAAATGCCAAAGAAGTAAGAGGTTAATTCTTGGGCAAAGAGTACAGGTGAAAAACCACTCTTAAGCCTTTAAAATCAGTGCCAGAAAAGTATCTGGTGGAAAACCCATCACAGCTAATCTGTCTTTTGGCAGTCAGGGGTTTGTCTTGCCTATTCCAGCTCAAAATCCTTACTGGTATCAGCTTTGTCCGTGACTGAGGTGTTGGAAGACGAGAATCCTCCTGGAGTCAGCGTTCATACTGTCAGTTCTACATTCAAAGCGCCCCAAGGAGATTGCACTAATAGATGTAGCTTTTGTCCAGTATGATCAACTTCCCTACATTCTTGGGAATATGCAGTACATGTTGAATAAAGGGCTCTAACTGAGCCAAAATAAGGTGGCATAACCACCTGTAAGTGAAGCATGCCACTCATGAGGCAGAAAGGATTTCAAACTAAAAAAGCTCCACACCACAAACTTTTCTAAGCATCAGAAAAAAACCCAACTAACAGACAAACAAAAAAGCCATCCAGCAGCAGTTTGTTCTTAAAAAGATAAATTTGCAGAAAAAAGCATGAATCTCAAGTCATCAAGAGAAGAAAAGGAAACTAACTTTAGCTCAGTAGACATAGCTTTAGGGTATGCACCAAAGAGTAGCTGCCAGGCACTGTATAGTTCCCTCTCACTGCCATTCAAACTTAGAATCTCATCTGTACAGTGTGCAACTTTATACAGATAGAGCTCTCAAAAAAAGAAAGAAAAAGTTACATTTTGTACTAGATAATGAAAATTACACAAATAAATTGCAAGGTTAATTTACAAAATGATAATTTATCAGTACAATTTAAATTTCACCTCCTCCCCCCGATCTGTAATTATGTGTGTTTTCCAGCAACTAAGTATTTCACATGCAAACCACCATACGTGGATTTTTTATTTCCAGCCAGCATGGTCCTTTGATCTTCCGACTCATCAAGAGAAGTTCCAGGCTAGAGGTGTTAGCTCCAAATACATGTGAAAATGTTTGTCCTTTCAGATCTTGGGGAAGCCGAGGACATTCAGCCTAACAAGTAAGAGAAAGCAGTGAGCCATTTCACCCCACAGAAGCCTTCAAGGTTGACACGCTATATTCAGACAGCACCTTAACAAAACTACACAATATCTGAAATCACTGTAATTTCCCACAAACAAAGCCTTAACTCATAATACCTCACAGTAATTGAAGAAATTACACTATTGACTTAAATAGGTGCATAACAAAATCAGGATTGCAACGTAAAAATGCACTGAAGCAAAAGTTCTTTACCCATATTGAATATAAGACAGAAATATTGTCGTTAGTCAAGACTACAACAATGTTCAATGACCATTTTAATATAGAAACTGCTCAGGTTGTAAACTTAATTAGATAGTTACAGCTTTCATCTTGTCTGTCATATAAAGACTGCATAAAGCGTTTCTGCGCAGCTAAAGAAAAAATTGAGATAGCTAGCAAATCTCTATAGGATGCTGCTTTTGCACCTAGAACTAGTATAAAAAACTGCTTTAAAAAGACATTATCTCAGCAACCAGCCCAATAGGTTCAAGACTGCTGAGTCTCTTACATTTGAAACCAAACCAGTATTTTTGCTAATGAAGAATAGCTACTGATGTTCTCATGGGAATTTTTTTCCGTCTTTGCTGCTCAATTTCACAGATCTTCAACAGAAGTCTTTCTCACCCAGCTGCTATTTGCAAGAGCCACGTAAGCAGAGATATCAGCTATATTCTGGACATGAATTCAACAAAACCTTTAAAGATAGTAAGTAATTTAAAACACCTTACAGTACTTCAGGCCCTGATCCAGTATAGCTAAAGGATTGTTTGGCTGATTGGTTGATTCAACGGCAAGGTGATAAAAATAAAGCAGGTTAACTAGGAATACAGATTGTTGTAAATCAATAAGCAAATTATAACTAGGGGAGAAGGTGGGAGGAATGCAGTAGTTGTAGGAAGTACTTTTTCCCCTCATGCTTTTTTTACACAAATAGAGCTAATGCTAACAAAGCAGTATGTCATAGGTTACTTGTTAAGAAACTGTTTTTAAGAACTAACCAACATACAAATAATAACAAAAAAAGCCACCAGGTTAGGTGTTAACCTCTTGTTTTATTTTTAAATTACAAGACAATGAGCAACTAACTACATACTGAGACAGAGGTACAGCCACTAGCTAGTAAAGATCAAATCCTGCAAATCTTTTTTTTTTTTTTGTAAAATCATAAAATTCTTAATTAGATAAGAAAGCAGGCTATGGTCTTTTGTCAGATTAATAATACTCACCGAATATTTAATTTCTAAGTATTCAGATTTTGCTGGAACATCCGGGATCTCAAAAGCATAATATTTTTCCACTTTCTATATAAAACAAAGATATTATTTTTTCAATATGTCCCAACTGAATATTCATTCTGTCCAGTAAGAAAGCTAATGAAATAAAGGCCAGTCAAAACATACATCTCAAATATCATGGGCCTGATCATATATTACTAATTCTGCAACTCATTATAATCATCTAGAGATAGTAAGAATGTTTTAGCACCTGCGTTTAATCTCTTAAGGTTTTCCTAGCACAAAGAGTTTCTACATAATTGATTCACGAGTACACTAACCATCACAAAACAAAAAAAATTACGAGCTTAATAGCTAGGGAAACTCATAAATGTTCTGTAAATTCACAGGCTTCAGATATACTCATGAAAATTGGTGGTTGCAGACCATGACAAAAATCACAAAATGGCTGAGATGGAAAGGCATCTCCAGATACTGTCTAGTCCAGCCGCTTGCTCAGAGCTGGGTCAACTCAGTGGGTTGCTCAGTGTCCTCTCCAGTTAGGTTTTGAATATCCCCAAGGATGGAGACTCCACAGCCTCTCTGGGCAACCTGTGCCAGGGCCTGACCTCCCTCACAGTAAAAAAGTGGTTTATGTTCTGATAAATTTCACGTGTTTCAAATGGTACCTATTGCTCTTGTCCTCCATCGGGCGCCAGTGAGAAGTCTGCCAGAATCATCTTTGCTCCTGCACATCAGATGTTTATACACAATGATAAGATTTGCACCACCAATCCCTCATGCCAAACCTTCTCTTCTCCAGACTGAGCAGTCCCAGGTCTGTCAGCCACTCCTCACATGAGAGATGCTCTAGTCCCTGTAATTACTCTTTGTGGTCCTGTGCTGGACTTGCTCCAGTATGCGTGCATCTTTCTTGTACCAAGGAGCTCAGCTGAACACAGCGCTCTACACGTGTCTCACCAGGGCTGCATAAGGGGGAAACTACCTCCCCTGAACCTGCTGGCAACACTCTGCCCATGGCTGTCTTTGCTGCAAAGGTACATTGTTGGCTCTTGTCCAACTTCATGTCTACCAGGATGACCAGATCCTTCCCTCCAAAGCTGCTTTCCAGCCAGTCAGCCACCAACATCTACTGGTGCCTGAGGTTATTCCAGTCCTGGTGCAGGACTTGATATTTCCCTTTGTTGAATTTGATGAGATTCCTGTAGGCCACGAGATATCTCCAGCCTGTTGAGGTTCCTTTGAATGGCAGCACACATCTAGTATATTAGCCGCCACTCCTGGTTTCATACTGTCTGCAGATTTGCTGAGTGTGCGCTCTGTGTCATCATCCAAGTCATTAAGACAGACGCTAAGCAGGATTGGACCATTATCAACCCCTGGGGTACATCACTAGGGACTGTCCTCCACCTGGACTTGGTGCCACTGATCACAACACTTTGAGACCAGCAGTGCAACCGGTTTTCAGTCCATCTTGCTCATACTTACCTAGCTCATACTTCATCAGTTTGTCTTTGAGGCTGCTATGCGAGACAGAGTTGGAAGCCCTACTGAAGTCAAGGTAAACAAGAGTCACTGCTCTACCCTTGTCCACCAAGCCAGTCATCTCTTCACAGGAGACTACCAGCATGGTTAAGCATGATAGCCTCTTTGTAAATACACACTGAACGCTCCCAAGCACCTTCTTGTATTTTGCATGTCTGGAAAACAGTTGTTTTCACAATTAGTTGTTCCATCACCTTTTCCCAGGGTTCTGCTTCCCTGGAATTTCCTCTTCCTTGCCCATCTTGATGATAGGTTTGACATTTGCTTTCTTCCAGTCCTTAGGAACCTCCTCTGATCAACATGACCTTTTAAAGATAATCAAGTGTGGCCTCACAGTGACATTGGCCAGCTTACTCCGCACTTGTGGGTGCATCCCATCAGGTCCCATGCACCTGTGTCTGTCCTATTTGTTTATATGTTCCCTAACCTGATCCTCCTCCACCGAGGACAAGTTGTCTTTGCTTCAGGCTTTCCTTCTGGTCTCTTGGGGTCAGGGATTGCTGAAGACTGGACTTAGCAGTAAAGACCAAGGCGAAGAAGATATCAAGTATCTTGGCCTTCTCCATGCCCTTTATCACCACATTCCCTGTTCCTTTCAGCAGCAGGCCCACGTTTTCCCCTAGTCCTCTTGTACCTGCAGAAGCCCTTCCTACTACTCTTTGCCTTACTCACTGGATTCAACTCCAGGTGGGCTTTGGCTTTCCTTTTTCCACCATGATGTCACCTCCAGTAGTCTGGCCTCTAATCCTGACCTATAAGCTCCTGACCAGCTTTTTGCTCATCCTTAAGTGGGGCTCCATGCATTCCCATTGCTCTGAAAAGTAAAAAGGACCCTCCCCCTCCTCACCATCCCAGCCAGTCCTTCTTAACCACATCCTATCCCACCATGTGCCTGTGATCCCAATGAGATTGTAGCCCTGTAATTGCACAGAGTTCCTCCTTTTATACTGCATGCTTTAGTGTACCAGCACTTCAGAGAGGCACCTGAGAGAGCTGACTTCCCAATCATCTGCCAGCTGTTTACTTTATTACATGCTTAGAACAGCATCATTTTTATGGCAGTATTGTATTTTTCATTTTGAGTGACTTGGGTTTTACTAGAAAGTAGTCAAGTTTGTTTACATATCTCTAACAAAGATAGTTAAAGGAGCCTCAAGTTCAGTATAACTTTACTGAAAGTTAAGTATCACTTCTGCTTTCTTCAAGAACAATAATGGTTTTCCACAACACGCAGAGTTTATCAGTTTCTAAAAATAACTATCTTCATTTTCCAAATAATTACAGTATCCTGCGCAACAATACAACAGTACCTGCTGAAATGCCATGCCCTACCCCATAATATGTATGCTCTGCCCTTTAATATTTCGCAAACCATCTGCACCACTGTTATATGTTACTGTTATTATGTTATGCCCTAAATATGCTAGAACATTACTCTTACTACAAGAATTCCTAGAGGCCTCTTAAATTAAAAAGCATATTTTCACTGGATATTGCACTAAGTTCAGCACATTATACATAGTTAGCATAATATACCACAAGAGTATGTTTAATAAGAAAAAACAAAGTCACCGTAAATTGGAATAAAATTTACAAATAAACAACACATCATGCACAGCTAGGTAAACTCAAAATTATTTGTTTTGGGCATTAGGTGATTTGGGTTTCTTTCTTAAATTAATAGCATCAGCAATAGCTCCCTCAGAGCACTACAATGAGCAGTTAAGCTTGCTACTTCTCCTCACACTGCAGTTTTAAGTCTGCAAAGCCTGGGTAGAAGAGGAGAAGGCCCTCTGCTATAAATAGGAGGAAGGCAAATCCAGAAACAACTACGGCAGCAACAGCTACATGAAAGCAGAGAGAGAGAAACATAACTTAGTATGAGAGCATCACTGTGAAGTCAGAACAGCATTACAAATTAGCATGCGAATGTAGATCTGAACTGTTGAGCCAAAGCAGCACGTCATAGCTGTAACAGAACAGATGGCGATGCAATTGCTTTTAGCACATATTACTGGTGATCCCCCTCCTTCCCTTTTTTAAAAAAAATTTCAAAAAACCCTCTCAAGCTTCAAATAAGTTCTTGTTGCAAACGCAAGCTGAACATAGTGTAAAAATAGTATGCTGCAGTGATTCATTTGCGTTATTCCACACAGCTCAGCTCAATTACACAAGCGTCTGGTCATAACTGCAGTGAATGAATGCTTTGCTGCAGAGTAATCTGCCCTTCAAGTGGCCCTTCAGAGAGCAGAAATGAGCAGCAGTGATTAGCTGCTAAGTTCCTAAGTGGAGTAAGGCTGCTTTCAAATTGATTTGTGAAGACTTGCTAACTTGGCAGCAGTGCAACCCATTGAAGCTACAATTAGCAGCAGGTGCGGGAGGAAATGATACGGCTTAAGTATATCTGTTCACAGGGACAAGTCTGGTGTGCTGGCAAGGCCAAGATGCACGCACACACACGCACACAGAACAACTTGTCTCAGTGTAAAAATACTGGCTCCTTCTGCATCATCACAGAACGGGGTATTCTGAATAAAAGAACTGTGAGTGATGGCAGGTATGCTAGTAACCTTCCTGATTTGCAAGTAATGGTGGGAGAATAAAAGTTTCTCAGTTTCACAGTACTATGCCAAAACTGAGACTAGCCTTCTAAAAAAAAAATCTTTCAAAGCACCAACCCTTAACAACAGAGCAGTGGAACACTGGCTGCACATCACAGAATAGTGGAGTTCTTATAAAGCATATTAGCTCTTAACCACATACAGTCACAACTGTGTGAAGATCACCTTTTTTGGAGCATTCACTCAGCTGAGTGCCCCCACCATTTCAATTCGAGAGCCCTGCACACCCCTATGGAAACACAGATGCAAGAGCTGTATAACAACACATCACCTCTGGCGATATGACTGCAATGAAAAGAAAGATGATGACTCCTTATGAAAAGCAGATTAACAAGGTATACAACCAGGCAAATTGAGGTCTCTCGAAGAGGAACAAAAGAAAAGGAGTGTGCAGTAATAGGACAACCCCACTACGCTCACCACTATCCTGCAGGCAACAAAAGGACCCCCTGCTGCAGAGAAGTAAGCCTGGTCAGATTTGGTGCCACTTGTGCATAGTCAATTTTATATTAAGCTGGAATAGCTGAGTTACTGTAATACTTTCCTTCAATAGTCCTACAAAGGCCCCACTAACAGACCTACTCTCCAATCCTGTCTCTTCTCCTATCCCCCACATTACTAGTGCCATACCCTCCTGCTAGCTCCAGTTGTCATTAAACACTTCCAGGAGGCAGTAACTATCAAAATCAACAGATAATTATGCTACGAAAATAAAGCTGGATAGCCTTTTACCATGTTAGTAAAATTCAGTTTACTGAAGACTCTGATGAATTCAAACAGAATTTGAATTCTTACTGTTCAGAGACACTTCTGGTAGGTTACTCCAGAGCTTCTCTGCACACACAAGTATCCTGCCTAATTTATTCATGAATTAAAATTTATAAATTTGTTCTTTTGCTAAAGCTGTCCTTGAAATAGCTTTCTCACTGCTCATCCCCTTTCAATGTTTTTAGAGAGCAAAAAGGTCTTATCATTATTCTTCACTTTACCAGGCTAAAAAATAAAATAAAATTAAAGCTCTTTCATAGTTATCCCTGGTATAACTGATTCTCCTTTTGTCTCATCCTTCTAATTACCATCTTTTGTATCTGTTGTTGCTTGAGTTAATCTTTCCTCATCAAGACGATCAAGTGTTATAACATTCTAGGAAAGATCTGAACAGTGCCTTAGCGCTGCTACGTCCCTATTCCTGCTAGGGATCACCCCTGTGTTACACCCAAGGACCCCAGATGCACTCTAGTCATGTGTCTGGACAACACATGATCCCGAGCTCTGTGTAAACTCAGTAAAAATTTGAGAAGCTTTGAACTAACAGCAGAAATAACAGTTCAAATACTTTCTGCATATGGTTTTACCTAGATTTTTTTAAAGCCATCTTTGAAGGTTAAACCTTTTACTCCATTACCTCACTCACACTATTTTTCCTTAGCACACCATGGAACAGGTGGAGGTTTCCTAAGATTCCGTTAGCAGATCTGCATCTTTTCAAAGACCTTTCCCCCCTCCTTCCATTTCTGGAGTACAAGCATATGTATCCTCTCTTTTAATGAAGAATTGATTTGCCCTGAGTTTCCTCCCTCATTCCTGAAAGGGTCTTTGAACAGTGAGCTATTACAAAGTTGTGTTTTACCTATTGTTAAATTCATTCCTTTCCAATCCCCATACATAGCGACTAAGTTATAATCAAATACACAAGAGAAATAACACTGCTAAAACTGAAAAAAGCTAAATTTGCATCAGAATTTTGAGAGAGAAAATAAGCTAGAACAAAAAATAACAATAGTTTTACGAATTTCTAATGAAGTGTGCATTTTTCCTGAATGATGTAAATAATGCTACATGTTGATGAAAAGATGTCATTTCTTGCATGAATTTGCCATTTGAGAAACAGTGCTGGCATTTTCACTTTATCAACTTAAACTTTCTGAAGTACTCTAGCTTTGAATTCAGTGACCTCCTGAGG